ACTAACGTGTCTCTTGATTACTACAGAAATTACTGTTGCTATAATTAATATGAATATACGGCGTTTATATATAAAACACAATTCAATTGTTTCTATCGCAATGCGTTGCATACTTAATATGCAATGTGCTCACGAAATTTGTTTGTAAAATCTGTATTAGATATTTGACAAAAGCATGCTATAAAATAATTAGTGCATTGCTCATATGACTGCGCATAGGCCTTGAACTTATTCATGCTAATTTCTTACGATTTATACGTAGTTGCGTTAATGCGATAACGCCTCCATGCATTGACCGAATGACGATTGCAATTGGTTGTTTGATTATTATAGAATTGAAAAAGTAGGTCAGGCTCATATATCTTTAAAATAGGTTCTTGATTATACTGAAAGTGCACAATCTTTCCTCTCTTTCATATTGTTTCGACTTTAAAATCAATTTTAAATTGACGTTGTATTTACTCCTACAAGTAATGTAGGAGTAAATACAACGTCAATTTAAATAAAGCAATAAAATTGCTATTAATTATTTATCGATCATACTATATCTAACAATATGCTTAGTTTTTCGTATTGGTAGTTAAGACATCAGTGCTATCAGTTATTAAAAACATATGGAACAATATATTTTGTAAATTGCACTGTGTATTGCACAAAAGAAATTGATAATTCATTCAGCAATTTCAATATCCAAACTGATTGAAAATGGAATGCTGCAAGAATTGTAAAATATTCAAAGTTACACTTAAATGAAATCTTAAATAAAATATAAATGCGCGAATGATAATCTTTATTCCCTGATATAAAAAACATAATTATAATAAATTTGGCTATTGGGAATTAGCACTGTACTATGTGAGCAATAAATTTCAATATTATTAAATTGTATTTTACATATTTAATTACTAATTTGTATACATGTTTCAGTTAACTTTTTAGCAATCTTCAGTACATACAGATGAATCCATGTAATTAGATAAGCGATGAGCATAAGACGTAATATAAAGCTACTGCATCCGTATGTTTTTCATTATTTTAGTATTCGCAATGTTTCCATGTGAGGCGGTATAAATAAAATATACCTGCTGATCTTATCAAGATTGTTGTTGAGTTGCGCTTCTTTATTAATGTCAGCACTCAGCCAATCACGTGCTTAATCGCGCGGTGACCTTACACCTTACAGTTTCGTGAAACATGCAAGATCGACCACGACAGTTCGATCAGTATTTCGATCGCCGGACGAGCATTCCAGCAAATTACCTTATAAATCACGTCTTACACGCCTCTTGTTAAATTTATGAATCACACGCGAGCCTTCGTGATCGACGATCGATGGAGAGTTTTCCTCGTTGAAACAAAAGGCGACGCGATTGTTGTAAATAAAATTGGCACGACAATCCGACACGCGCCTTTTTACTGCTATAAACAGTACAAACGTTGCAAGACAAGGCGCGATGCACTTGGCGTGCAGGTGGATACGTTTCTATGACTGTCTGCCTACAAAATACTGGCAACACGACGATAAATTTTCAGTCGCTTTCGTGCACAAGCTGCCGGATGCGCCTCCTTTGTAACTTGCGTAGTTAACATTTCGAGCTTGATGGAAGTTTTCGAGCTTCGACGAAGAAGCAATGTCGCGATGCCGAGCATGTGATAACAGAAGAAATAACAGAAGAAACAAGAAAATTTCT